CTCTCTCTCCAACGCCAGCTGCTCGTCACGGGCACGGCGAACACGAGCCTGGTGCCTAGTCGGGTAGGGGTGGGGGGGTGGAGTAGTGTCCGAAGCAGCGGCAGCTCCAGAGTCCACCCCAGAAGAACTAGGCGCACCACCCCCAGAGGCAGCACTAACACCAGCTCCAGACCCAGGCTCACGTGAACCCGAAGGAGGCGCACCCTCACCCCCAGACGCAGCACCCCCAGTGTCCGCGCGGCCAGCACCAGCTCCCGGACGACAAGAGTCCTCTGCACCCACCGGGTCAGCTCCAACTCCAGAACCAGAAACTCCAGCTCCAACCCCAGCTCCAACTCCAGCACCCCCAGAACCAGAAACTCCAGTGCCAACTCCAGCTCCAACTCCAGCTCCAACTCCAGCACCCCCAGAACCAGAAACCGGTACAGGAACAGGCGCCGCACCAACCTCTCGAGAGCTAGCACCAGCGGCACGCTGCGAGGAGGACTGTGGGGAGGGAGGCTGTACCGGAGGGGCTACCGAAGGAGGAGGGGTAGCCTGGGACACACCTAACGGGGCTGGACCAGGGGGGGGAGGCTGTACCGGGGGAGCAGGAGGGGGAACGGCAGTCAGGAAGAGGGGGGGAGGAGGAACCGGGAGACCTCGACTGGGGTACCTGACGTAGTACGGAGTGGACTCCTCGAAACGGACGTCACGGGAGTCAAAGAACCGGTGAGAGGGAGGGTGGTAAAAGGTGAAGTCAGAGGAGTCCTCAAGGAAACCAAGGAAGACACAGGGGATGGCACGAGGCGAGAGCTTGTCCGCGGAGGTGTCGCGGACAAGAGCCAAGCACCCCCAGACACGAAACCGCGACGCAACACCAGGGGACCCTGTCCAAAGACTGGTCGGTGAAACCTCTGGTCGAGAGACACGTGGCCAGAGGTTCAGCTGGTGCGCGGCGTACCTGACCGCGTAGGGCCACAGAAAATGGGGGGCACAGGCGTGAGTCAGGGAGGTGCGGGCGATCTCCATGACCAGGCCTATGCGGCGCTCAGCAACCCCATTCTGCTGTGGGGACTCTGGAAGCGTCCAGGACTGACGAATGCCCTGCTCGCGACAGAATCCAGCGAGAATGCCGGAGCGAAACTCACCCCCACGGTCGGAGTGGAGACAGCTGACACGACGACCACGAGTGTCCTCAGTGGTGAGCAACCACCTGATCAGCGTAGAAGTCACCTCAGACTTCTTCGCCAGAGGGAACACTGTGGTGTAGCGGGAGAAGTCGTCAACGACCACCAGAAAGTAACGCTCACGCTCAGGGCCTAGACGAGGGGCTGGGCCCCAGACGTCCAAGTGAAGCGTCTCAAAAGGCTCGGTGGCCGGACGAAGGGAGGAGGAGTGAGGGGTGGCGCGCAGCCTACCCTCGACGCAGGGACGACACGGCGGCGCAGGCGAAGGCGGCAGCGACGACAAGACACGTGGGAGGCCTAGGACAAGACGCTGACTAGACATAGCGCGCAGACGTGGAAGGGACGGGTGCCCCATCCGGTGGTGCCACAGAACGGTGGGGTGGGCAAGCGACCGGCAGGAGCACGACGCAGCGACTGGAACAGACGTAGGAACCTGACACGACACAGACACCTGGGGGGAGGTAGCAACCTGGTGAGACGCGGGGACCCGAACGGGGGGGGGAACCGGGGGCAGTGGCAGTAGGGGGGGCTGCTGGTGCGGCCGCTGGTGCTGCTGCTGCTGCTGCTGCTGCTGCGGCTGCTGCTGCGGCGCACGCGGGCCAGTGTGAAGAGTGTAGAGACCCGAGCCCGGCTCAGCAGTAAAGGTAGCAAGAGGCTGGTAAGAGTCTCCGTCAACACACACCGCAGTCTCTCCAAAAGGCTCAAACCACACACCCACGTGCTGACTCACGAGGGGTCGCACGCCCACCAAGTTCCGGGAGAACGAGGGGACGTGAAACCCAGTGAGAGACCCGGAGGGAGCAGCAGGACACGGTAAAGTGGTAGTGTGACGTGCAGTGACTGGTCCCGTAGTGGGATCAGCCAACGCTACAGAAACAGGCGCAGGAAGTGGTGTAAGTGTCGTGCTGTCCCGAAAGAAGTAGTGGGAGGCTCCAGAGTCCAGTGTGAACGACAGCGAAGCGTCCTCTGAGGTAGTCGCTGGTCTAGAGTCTACACAAGTACCTACACTAGCAACAGGCAACTGAGCAAGACTAGCACCTAAGCTAACAACACCATAGTAAACAGAGTCAGAAACACTAGAGTCAACAACAGCATACATAGCATGAGGAGCACTAATCAGATCAACTAACTGCTCAGCAGACATGCCCCACAGAGCGGAGCCGTAGCGCTGAACCAGAGGAAGCCAGTCAGGAGCAGGACCGCCAACCCCGTAGGTCAACCGGACCGTGTCAGTGAGCTGAGCAAAGCACTGACCAGGGGGGTGAAAGCGGCCACAAGGGTGGCCCCGACGAGGACCTGTCTGAACCTGGTAGGGGCAGGAAGGGTAAGCAGCACCGCGCTGGGGCTGACGCAGCCCCGACCCCGGAGCCAGCTGCTGACGCTGCTGCTGCTGAGGCTGCTGGGAGGAAAGGGGCTGCTGCTGCTGCTGAAGGTGCTGCTGACGCTGAGCCTGGTACCACGCCGCTGCTCCACCTAGCGGGGCCGGCAGTACAGGAGGCGACTGACGAGCTCGAGGGTCGCCGCCACCAGCAGGTGCAGTGGAGTCACCAGCCGCTGCACGAGGGGTCTCTCCAGACGCTGCACTCCCACCACCGCCAGTCGCAACAGCACCCCCACTACCTCCGCTACCTCCGCCTCCACCTCCACCGGAACCACCTTTCTTGCCCCCCCTGCCGCGGGACCGCGACGCAGTCGTAACAGCAGCCGCAGTCGCGTCAGTAGCGGCAGTGGCAAGAGAGGCAGTGAAGGTGGGTAACTGCGGGACTGTGCACCCGTGGAAGAGTGGGGGGGACACAGTACCAGAGGCGGCAGCTACCGAACGAAGGTTGCTCTCGACGTCCTTGAGTGCAGACTCAAGGACCTCGATAGTCAGCTCACTAGGGTGCTTCAGCAGAAGCGCGTCACGAACGGAGGCAAGGCGGTCAGGGAGGCTAGTGGCGATGAAATAGACAGTAATCGCCATGGGGGGAGGAAGCAGTGCAAGCTGTGCCTCAGTGCAAGCAGCGCAGTAACTAGCGTCGAGCGAGCGGAGGTGAGCGATCAAGTCAGCAGAGCGCTCAAACGAGGCAAGATCAGGAAACAGGAACGGGAGGAAAAGACGGCCGAGAGAGACAGTAGCGGGAGTAGAGTAGCGGGCCTTAATCGCAGTGAGGTACGCAGCAGCGGTGCGAACCTGAGTAAAGTGGACCTCCTCGGACTCAGGGAGGAGGCTGCTGAGTGCGATGCAGGCCGCAGCGTCACGCGACGTCCAAGCCGTCCGGTCATCGCGCTGACGGGCAAAGCGAGCCGTAGCAGCGTCGTCAGGAGCAGGGCCTAAAGCTGTAGGCTCGGGGGGCTCGGGGAGGTCACCAGTAGCGTGTGACCAGAGGGTCTCGCCCCCCTGGACCTGACTCTCTAACAGACGACGAGCGCGAAGAAGCCAGACGGAAAAGTCAAGGGGTCTACCGTCGGCGTCGAAACAAAGAACTCGCGGAGTCGCCATAGTGAGAACCAACGCGAACGAACAGGCGAGTAACAACCGGGGGGGAAGAGGACTTAGTCGCAGCGGAAGAGCGGGCTAGGGCGACGGGCCAAGACGTAGGGTAGGGCAACGGGCCAGGGCCTAGGGTAGGGCGACGGGCCAGAGCCTAGGGAGGGCGACGGGCCAGGGCCTAGGGAGGGCGACGGGCCAGGGCCTAGGGAGGGCGACGGGCCAGGGCCTAGGGAGGGCGACGGGCCAGGGCCTAGGGAGGGCGACGGGCCAGGGCCTAGGGAGGGCGACGGGCCAGGGCCTAGGGAGGGCGACGCGACGGGGGAAAGGGCGGGAGCGACGCGACGGGGCAGGGCGACGCGACGGGACAGGGCGACGCGACGGGGCAGGGCGGCGCGACGGAGCAGGGCGACGGGACAGGGCAGGGCGACGCGACGGGGTAGGGCGACGCGACGGGACAGGGCGACGGGACAGGGCAGGGCGACGCGACGGGACAGGGCGACGGGACGGGGGGGGTAACAGGCGGGCGCGACGCGACGGGGGGAACGGGCGCGACGCGACGGGGGGAACGGGCGCGACGCGACGGGGGGAACGGGCGCGACGCGACGGGGGGGAACGGGCGTGACGCGACGGGGGAGATGGCGCTAGGCTCGGTACTAGGCGCGGTAACAACGAAACTGGTACGAACGAGAGGTAGGATCAGGCTCGGGAGGTACGAACGGAGAACGGAGGAACGGGATCCCACAGGATCCTAACCTAGCTGATACCATGTCAGAATGAGGAATGAATGTTCCATTGATGTTGGTTGGGGTACATATAACAAACCCTAACTTCTGTACCCCCTAAGACAAACCTCACTACAGGCTACAACATTTGACACTTATGTCGTACACGGGCAAAAATGCTTGAGTTATCTTGTAAACGGGATGGTTTAGGGTGTCTTATAAGTCTTATAAATGGAAAAAAAAATAAGTTGACTGTAACACTTGCAAAGTGTGTAGAAACCACCCAAAGACCAATTTCATTTAAACAGGCCGACCTCAGTGGTGATGCATGCAGCGCCCACACTTTCCACGTGAGGGAGCTGCCACCGCTGGCAACATTCCTCTGTGCTGGCAGCATCTAATGATGCTGCCAGCGTCGTTTTGCTGCCAGGAGCGCATGGATGCTTCCAGAACGCTGCTGGCAGCACGTTGGCAGCGTGAGGGCTGTCCTCTACGAGGAGATGCCTCGTAGAGGAGCGGCTCGGCACCTGTGGATGGGGCACTCTGGCTGGGGGGGGTAGTCGGGCTCTCACTTCATTTCGTGCTCAAGGAGGTTGAATACTCGTCTCAACCTTGCTCTCGGCAGGCTCTCTAACCATGCGCAGCAAAGTACCAGTAGGCAAGTCCTCACCTCGTCCTCACGTGCAGGTTAATAACTACGGGCGAATTAACTCGCCCGGCGATGACATCCGTGTAGCCATGGCGAAGAACGCGAGCAAGGCGGCAAGTCCTACCGCTGCCTCCGGTGCGAGCTGTGACGGGGACGACGGAGACGAAGCGAACGGCGGCGACGCCGAGGAGGATTGGCCGGAGAACGGCCACGACGACAGCGCTTCAGGCGACGATGTAGGTCCTGCTGACATCGAGGAGGACGACTGGTGGAATCGGCCGGTCGGGAGTGACGACGAGGTGGAAGAGTGGCATGCTGGTGATTCCGACAACGACGGAGGTAAAGATGCGCATGGTAACAACGCGGAGGCAGCGGCGGATGCACAGGAAGCGGCGGTGGATGCGAATGAGGAGCCTGACGACGAGGCGGGGGCGGAACTTGAGACACTTGCGCCTGCGGATGCAGCCGCAGTTGCGGATGCGGAAGGCGAGGAAGGCGGCGACGACGACCCATGGAGCTTTGGGACCGACGACGACGTTCCGCTACTGAAGCGGAGGCTGCGCCATCGCCTACAGTCCAAGTCAAAGCGGGCCCGCGTGGTGCTCTCTGACGACGACGGTCCGGGGGAGGAGCGTCGCCCGAGACTCACCGCTGCGGAGAAGGGGAAAGCCAAGGTCGCGGAAGCCCCTGCTAAGGCCCCTGCTAAAGCCCCTGCTCGTCGTCGCACAAGCAACAAGAAGCTGACATCCGACGGAGACCCGGGATCCAGCAAGGGTGCGGCTAAGAAGAAGGCGAAGAATGCGCCGAATCCTGACGACATCGTCGTGAACGAGCCGCTGGGCAGCGACGATGAGTACGCGGCGGCGGCGGGCCCGATTCCCACGTTCCCTGAGAAGGTAACGCCGAGGGACCCCACCCTCCATAATCCCAACACCCGCCCACCTTCCCCTCGCAGCAAAGACACTACGAAGAAGCGCCGCAGTTGGATCATGCGTGAGAAGCTTAAGTGGGCGCGCCGCTATCAGGAGCTCGGCTCCTTGAAGAAGACGAGCGTGGAGTCAACCGCGTCCATCGCCTGCATCAGACGCTGGTGTGCGGAGGCGGAAGCGGGCGTCTACAAGGGCGCGGCCAACTGCCGCAAGCGGATGCACGGGGGGGGGGCGCCACTCACACTACCCCGACATGGAGGCAGCGTTGTACCGCTACATCTGCCTTCAGCGCGCTAATGGGGTGGCCATCTCGGTGAAGGACACCCAGAAGTGGAGCCGCGAGTGGATGAAGAAGCATTACCCCGGCAAGAACTGGAACGCGAGCTCTCACTGGAGCCAGCGTTTCCGTGACCGCTGGAACCTGGTGATGCGGGTGAAGACCAAGGTCGGCCAACGTCTGTCGGCAGGTGCGTGTTGAAGGATTTCGTCTGGCGCTCTATTGAATGCATGTACCTCACCCATTGTCTAACCATCCCGTGCTTTCGTTGCGCTTGTCCCGTTTGCAGAGTGCGCGAAGGACTGCGAGTCCTTCTGGAAGTTTGTGCGCATCAACAGGGCGCGGCACAAAATCGACCTGGCCCGCATCATCAACGCGGACCAGACTCCACTATTCGTGGAGATGCCAGGCGAACGAACGATCGAGCACCGTGGCGCGCGCTCGGTCCCAATCCGCACTGCAGGCTACCAGAAGACGCGCTTGACGGTGATGCTCGCGTGCACTGCATCCGGGGAGAAGCTGCGGCCGTGGGTGTGGTTCAAGATGAAGAACGTCCCCAACTGTGAGATTCCGGAAGGTAAGCGAGCGTGAATTCAACCGTGCGACTGCGTGATGAGCGTGCCCCACTGTGCTGATGCCCGTCTGTCCCTTGTGTGCCTAGCAGGAATCGTGGTCCAAGCACAGGACAATGGGTGGATGGACGAGACCGCTGTGCAGACCTGGCTGTCCAAGGAGGTGCTGCCCCATCTGAACCCCCAGCGCGGCCAGAACGCAAGGCGGGCGATGCTGGTGTTGGACTCCTACCGCGGTCACATCACCCAGACCATGCTTCAGTCGTACCGCACACACAGCATCACCTCTGCAGTCATCCCAGCGGGTTGTACGAGCCAGATTCAACCCCTGGACGTCTCCATCAACCGGTGCTTCAAGGCTGCTGTGCGAGCGCGCTACGCTAGGTGGTTCATGCGTGAAGGGATTCACCTGAAGACGAAGAAGGGTGAGTTGGTCCTTCATTTACGGTTTTATTCATGTTCTGTTTCGTGTCCTTGTCTTAAACATGCTCCTTCATATCCGTGTCTCTTATATCTCGCTGCCCCGTCCTCTGTCCCACCCGCAGGGAACCTGCGGAGGCCTCCGCACCCCGTGGTGCTGCAGTGGATCGCGGAGGCTTGGGATCAAGTCCCCAAGCAGATCATCATCGACGCGTTCCGCCACTGTGGGATCTCGAGCAAGCTGGACGGAACAGAGAACCACCTGGTGATGTCTCACCTGCGCGCCAGGAGCACCACCGATGTCTCCGCGGACATGTCTCTCGGGGGGACCACAGGCGACAACACGCGCCTGCTCGGTCGGGCTCCAGAGGAGGAGGAGGAGGAGGCGATGCAGGCGGAGGGCGTGCGGGAGGTGGCCGTGGCAACCGGCCTGGAGGTGCTGTACCAGGAGACCCCCAACTACCGCGGAGCGGGGGCCGAGGCTGACCGCATGATCGAGCCTAGGGAGACGGCTAGGCATGCCTGGCGAGTGCCAGACCTGGGTGTAGAGCCTGATGTTAGTGCAGGTGAGGAGGCGGTGACTGAGGGGGGTTAGGTAGAAGTAGAGATTCATGACTGTATGCATGTACCCCCCTAAAGTAGGAAAGCTAGCTAAGAAGACACCCCCTGTTTATAAGAAAACCCCTAAACCCTGGTTCTGATTATAAGACATATATGTCTTAACTCGTACACACAAATAGGTGTCATATAAAAAGGCTAGCTTGTTTATAAGAGACACCCGTATAGTAGACAACCCCTGTCTACTATTCAACACTGTCTTATATCCGGGCGATGACGGTAATTTCTCAGAAAGGCCTAGGTATAACTACATGGAAGGCGACGAGGTGGCTAGCGGAACAGTGCGACTACTCGAATAGTTGAGGTTGAGTAATGACACACTTTATAGGTGCTAGCCACGACTAGGTCAATCAATTGAGCCCGCCAAACTCCCTTTAGCTGCAGCGCCGTGCGGCATTCGGACGGGCCGTCGCGTGGCATTCGTCGAGCGCGCCGTGCGGTATACGGCGAGCCCGACGATTCCTTGCCAAGAGCGCCTCGACGAGTTGCATTCTGCTGGCTTGCCGCGGTGCAATAGTCGAATCCCTACCTACCTGCCTCGACGAGTTGCCTTCGGCGGGCTCGCCTAGCCCGCTGCTCGCGACACCCGCTTAGCGCGACACCCGCTTCTCACCTCACCCGCCGCGTGCCGAACCTTCTGCCCGCCCCTGCTACCCCCCGTTTTCCCCCTTGCTCCCTCTCTTTCCCCCCCGTGCTCCATCTCATTTCCCCTCTTTCTCCCTCTCATTTCTCCCCTTGCTCCCGCTCATATCCCCCCCTTCTCCCGCTCATTTTCCCCCCTTCTCCCTCTCATTCCCCCCCTTCTCCCTCTCATTCCCCCCCTTCTCCCTCTCATTTCCCCCACTTCTCCCTCGCACTTCTCCCCCTCATTTTCCCCGCTTCTCCCGCTCATTTTCCCCCCTTCTCCCTCTCACTTCCCCCCCTTCTCCCTCTAGTTTCCCTCCCTTCCCCCTCTCAAATCCCCCCCTTCTCACTCTCAAATCCCCCTTTTCTCCCTCTCATCCCTTCCCTTCTTCTCCCCCTCATTTTCCGCCCTGCTCCCTCTCATTTCTCCCTCTTCTCCCCCACATGTCCCCCCCTTCTCCCTCTCATTTCCCTCCCTTCTCCCTCTCATTTCCTCCCCTTCTCCCCCTCGTTTCCCGCCCTTCTCCCTCTCATTTCCCCCCTTTCTCCCCCATATGTCCCCCCCCCTCTTCTCCCCCTCACTTCCCCCCTTTCTCCCTCTCATTTCTGCCCTTGCTCCATCTTATTTCCCCCCTTGCTCCCTCTCAGCCCCCCCCCCCTTCTCCCTCCCATCTACCCCCGTTCTCGCCCTCATTTCCCCCCCTTCTCCCTCTCTCATTTCCCCCACTGCTCCCCTTCATTTTGCCCCCTGCTCCTTCTCACTTCCACATTTGCTCCCTCTCATTTCCACCCTTGCCGCCTCTCACTTCCACCCTTGCTCCCTCTCATTTTCCCCTTGCTCACCATCATTTCCCCCCCTGCACCCTCTCATTTTCCCCCCTTCTCCCCCACATGTCCCCCACTTTCTACCTCTCAGTTCACGTGTCCGGATGCTGTGCATGTTCACGACATGCAGGTGAGGGCGGGATCAGGTGTGGCGCGGGCGGATCAGCGTATGCTAGGTGTGCGTGTGCCTGCTGATTGATGTGCATCCAAGATCAATGTGCATCACTAATGGCACTCTGTGTGTTCCTGGGGTGGCATGGTGAGGCATGCATGGTAGGAAATCTCTTAGGGTTGCATGTCGGTCAGGTAATGTGTATCTTGTGCGCACTGGATTGCTCGTTCTCCCCCTCATTACTTTCTTTCCTTTCCCCACTTGCAATTCTTCAGGCTTAGATTGAGCTCTGTCGTATGTGCCCACTTTTCCCCCTTCCTCGCCCCCTCCCTCCGTCTCATTTTCCCCCCACTCCTCTCACTAACAGGTCTACCAAGCGGCCCACACTGTCTCGCTCCCATTTGCTGCACACCAATGCCAGGCATGCAACAGCAGCAGGCAGCATGTGCGGCATCTCCTTGCTTAGTTGACGGCTTCTAATTGTGATTCAACAAGCATGCATGCACTTCCAACTGTGTGTTGTCGAGCTCGCTTGGCCGTACGATATTAGGAACTTTTATGGCCATTTAGTTATCTGGACTTCATCAAGTTTGATGTAACGATTCCTCACAACCATGTCACTAAATACATAAAAGAGAAATATTATGAGACCGATTTTCTTCAGTACCATGCACGTGGCTAGTCGTGTGCACATGCATCTCACGCCCTCATTGCAAAATCTATCTCGATGGGCAATTCCTCTTATCTTTCGCACCCCTCAATGTCACATTCATCCTCATCATTTTCAACCCTATCCTCGTCACCTGCAAAGGATGGGAGGGGCTGGAAGGGGATGGGAGGGGGGTAAGGGGATGGGATGGGAGGGGCTGGAAGGGGAATGAAAGGGTTTGAAATGGGATGGGAGGGACTGGAAGGGGAATGGAAGGGTTTGAAATGGGATGGGAGGGACTGGAAGGGGATGGGATGGGAGGGGCTTGAAGGGGATGGGAGTGGATGAAAAGTTATGGCAGGGGAAAGAAGGGTTTTGAAGGCAGGTAGGGGAGGCGGGAGAGATGGTTGCGAGGGCATGGAGGGGTGATGTGAAGGCAAGGAAGAGAGATGCATAGGTAGGGAAAGGAGATGCATAGGCAGGGATAGGAGGTGCATAGGCAGGGATAGGAGGTGCATAGGCAGGGAGAGGGAAGGGGAGAGATAGGGTGGCGGGTCGGCTAGAAGAGCCCGCCCGGGGAGGTGGGAGGAGCACGCGCAGATAACGAAGTGCAGGAAGCGAGGAGCTAATAGGCAAGATCCCTCCCAGTGCTGGCCTTTGCTCGCACAAACTTCGAGCACTCGGCCTCAGCAGCACTTGCAGCAACGGAGTGGCGATAGCTTCAAGGACACGCCACTGGATGGCGGGGTTCAGGACATGGTACAAAAAGCACGGAAGGTGATAAGAGGGTAGGAGAGAGGAGAGTGCAGATAATGTGAGGGAGATGGGCTGGTAGGAAGAGAGGATCGGTAGGCGGGAAAGGGAAACGGGGAGGCGGGAAGGGGTAATGGGGAGGCGAGAAGGGGTAATGGGGAGCGGGAAGAGGAAATGGGGTGGCGGGAAGGGGAATTGGGGAGGCGGGAAGGGAAAACGGGGAGGCGGGAAGGGATAACGGGGAGGCGGGAAGGGGTAACGGGGAGGCGGGAAGGGGTAATGGGGAGCGGGAAGGGGAAACGGGGAGGCGGGAAGGGGTAATGGGGAGCGGGAAGAGGAAATGGGGTGGCGGGAAGGGGAATTGGGGAGGCGGGAAGGGGTAATGGGGAGCGGGAAGGGGAAATGGGGAGGCGCGAAGGGGTAATGGGGAGCGGGAAGAGGAAATGGGGCGGCGGGAAGGGGAATCGGGGAGGCGGGAAGGGGAAACGGGGAGGCGCGAAGGGGAAACGGGGAGCAGTCGTTTCTGATTACCCTCGCGACCTCAATTGCGGCTGCCGCCGCTACTGCGGAAACGCGGTAGCGAGGCCGCGCGATCGGGCGGCGACTGTGAGGACTGTGTTCGGCAGTTTGAGACGCAGCGTGCGCGTTCATGGTGGCGTGAGGAGGCCGCGTGGTGAGGCGACGCGACGGACGACGAGGCGAGGCTGTGAGAGGAGGTCCGGCGGGCTCGCCGTGTCAGAGGGCGGAACTGACGTTGGCTCGGACGTGTAATTACACTAAAATGCCCCACGCGTCTAAGTTTGTGTCTGAAACGGGAGTGGTTTGCGCTGGCTGTTGAGTCGCGATGTGCTTAGCTACGGTTTATGCTGCTTGTTGAGCGTAGTGGCGTAGATCTCAGATGGACTGGATTTCGTGTACTTATGTTATTCCAAAAGTTTTGAATCACCTGTGAGGCCTGGGTGTCGGGGAGATCACCTGTAAGGATTTACAAGTCCTTACTGAGGCACTCGTTATCGAGGCCATCCCGAGGGTCATGCGAAACCTGTCCTTCCTATTTCGTCGCACCGAACCACTCCCGAGTCGCCTCCGCACCAATCGCAACCATCACCGAGCCATCCTTTCCCGAACCCCCCGCCTAGCTAGGACCTCCCCTATTTAGGCCTCGTCACTTTGTGTGTTCAGTCATTCAGTAATTCAGTACTCAATCATTCTCGTTATTCGATATTCTGCGCACTCTGCAAGTTAATTCATAACATCACCTCCCTTTTTGCTGGGTTACCAATCTTTCAAATTTCAGAACTTTTGAACCTCCCTTTTTCAAATGTATACAAAAGCTTTAACCCAGGTTATCCCTAATGTCTCAAATTTGGCGGGAACCAATCAACAGTTCGGTCCAAAATTTGTTTCGCCTGGCAAACTCATCCCTGCGCTCTGTCAAGTTGGGTTTGGGTTCACTATTTTGCATTTCCGTTTTAGTACCGGTACTTAAGGGGAGTCAACGCTTATGATAACATACCTCTAGATGTCAAGCAGCAAGTACACTGCACTTGCCGCAGCTCCGGGCGCAGCTGCTGTGCATATATCCAGGGTTCTTCTCACATTCCCCCGCCTTGGCCCACAAAGGACAATGCTCACTCTCATCCACACACGCGCCAGGCGGGTGCGAGTGAGAAGATACCTTCCCGCCTTCTTCCCCCCCATCCTCTTCTTCCTCAAAGGAGCGAACGTGGATCCACTTGGTGGCAGACCACTTCTCCCCGGCCAGCACGGGGCAGCCCGCGTGGAGAGAGGCAAGGTCGGGCTCAGCGGAAGGTTTCAGGGAAAAGAAAAGCAGTGCATCGCCCTTCACTGGCTTGGCTGGTGGGAGAAGGGGAGAGGGGAGATGAGTGAGAGGGGGTCGGGGGAAGGAGAGGGCTTTAGGGAGAAGAGCAGCAGCGCATCGCCCTTCACTGGCTTGTCTGGTGGGGGGGAAGAGGGAGTGGGAGGGAGGGCGATGGGGGAATTGGGAAAGGGACGGGCCATGGGAATAAGAGGGAATGGGCTTGTACACAGTCGACAGAGGGTTTTAGCTTTTAGTAACAAAGAGAAGAAAGGGGAGAGTGTCTTAAGGGCAATCACCCTCCAGTAAATAACATCCGCAGCTCGAGTGTTCCCTTTAAAGTCGTCCCCCATTCATCCCACACACCGCCTCACCTGCAACACCCTGCTTGCCACAGTCAGACCACGTGTCGTCCTTCTCTTGCTTGTCCTTCTGCATGGGTGGGGTGTGACACATAGTGACATGGCACGATGCAGGATGATGTGGCATGAAGTGGCATGATGTGGCTTGATGTGGCATAACTTGTATTTGGCCTGGCATGGCATTAACACGCAAGGCATGACTCACACATGTACATGAGTCTCCATTGAAGAGAACAACGGTTCAGCAAGGGAAGTGGCATAGCGGCGGTGGCCCCCCTGCTGCCTCTTCTCCGACTCCCTTCTCACTTTTCCGCACAAACACAGGCATCCTAACACACACACACACACACACACACACACACACACACAAGCACCCACCTCAGAGTCTGGAAACACGGTCTCCCCCCCATGGAACCCATCAGTGAGGTACATGAGCACAGTGGCGTAGCGGTGGCCGCCCTGCTGCTGCTTCTCATCCTCCTCAAAGAAGTCGTGGTGAGCATCGTATTTCTGCCCCACAGCGTACCGCAGCACCTGCATCGACTCCTGGTTCTCTGCCATGCACAGGCGGGTACATGGGGGCAGGGATGTGGGGGAACAGCGGCCGTCAATGCCCGCCCCTTTTCCCCAAAATAGATGTGCTGGGCGTCATACCTCTGCCCCACGGCATACCGCAGCACCTGCATCGACTCCTGGTTCTCTGGAAGGGGACGGAGAGGAGGCACCTACTTTCAATGTGTCAATTCCTAAGAGTTGCTGCCACGTATTGAAACCGTGGCACCTACTTGGTGCTCTATTGGGGTATACCGTGGAGAGGAGGTGAGAGGATACAGGGAAGAGTGAGTAGCATTGATGCCTGTTTCTGTTTTATTTTGCCCCACTGCATACTGCATCACCTGCATCGACTCCAGTTTTGAGGCGCCTCAAAACTTCACTGCATACCGCAATACCTGCATCAATACCTGGTTCTCTGGTACAGTGCAGGTGCACAGGCTTAACGGAATTGGGCATGCCAGGGAGGAATCAAGAGGATGGGGGCCGAGGGTGGGGGCCGAGGGTGGGGGCCGAGGGTGAGGCTTAAAGGAATTGGGCGCTAGCCTAGAGCATTGTGGAGAGAGCCAGTTTGAAACAAATCTTTATTAAAGAATCAGGGACACTGCAAACTAGTTTCGGCTTTTTCAAGCCTTCATCAGTACAGGCCTGGAAAAGGAATCAGGCTTAAAGGAATTGGGCATGCCAGGGAGGAAGCAGGAGGATGGGGGCCGAGGGTGGGGGGGGTGGGGGTGCGGGTGCACGAGGAGATTGGGGAGGGTGCACGAGGAGATGGGGGAGGGTGCACGAGTGGGGAGGGAGGCTTACCAGGGGCAAGGAAGGTCCAGGTAGCAATGCGGTCTTCAATGCGCTTGATGACGTCATCCTTTGGGATGGGCATGCGATGGGACGTGCAGAGGAGAGGGGCAAGGAGCATACCACCACGAGTTGAGAAGGAATTCTCAGAACGCAAGGGACAAAATGAGAAGGAATTCTCAGAACGCAAGGGACAAAATGAGAAGGAATTCTCAGAACGCAAGGGACAAAATGAGAAGGAATTCTCAGAACGCAAGGGACAAAATGAGAAGGAATTCTCAGAACGCAAGGGACAAAATGAGAAGGAATTCTCAGAACGCAAGGGACAAAATGAGAAGGAATTCTCAGAACGCAAGGGACAAAATGAGAAGGAATTCTCAGAACGCAAGGGACAAAATGAGAAGGAATTCACAGAATGCAAGGGACAAAATGAGAAGGAATTCTCAGAACGCAAGGGACAAAATGAGAAGGAATTCTCAGAATGCAAGGGACAAAATGAGAAGGAATTCTCAGAACGCAAGGGACAAAATGAGAAGGAATTCTCAGAATGCAAGGGACAAAATGAGAAGGAATTCTCAGAACGCAAGGGACAAAATGAGAAGGAATTCTCAGAATGCAAGGGACAAAATGAGAAGGAATTCTCAGAACGCAAGGGACAAAATGAGAAGGAATTCTCAGAATGCAAGGGACAAAATGAGAAGGAATTCTCAGAACGCAAGGGACAAAATGAGAAGGAATTTTCAGAACGCAAGGGACAAAATGAGAAGGAATTCTCAGAACGTTAGCTGGGGAGAAGTGAAATGATTGACCCTAGTTGCAGCGCAAAAGGAACAATTGACTGAACTGAACATTCCACCCTGTTTCCAGTACATAAGAAAACAGTCAATTTTTTTACATGCATGCATCCATCCGTGCTTCAGGGTAAACACCTGCTGCAAGATAAGCTCTCTATGAGCATCAGGGTTACCATTCACTGCGCAACGAACCTGAGCAATATCGAGGAGGGTGCCGGAGCTGGACCTGTAGTCATCGACAACACTGGAGCCATTATCAGCCACTACTGTTGATTGCTCCATTCATCTTTCGCCTCACCTAGCGAAATGTTGACTTTTCCCGGACTTTTTTTTACAGAGCCACAAACCTGAGCAATATCGAGGAAGCAACCGGAGCTGGACCTGTAGTCGTCCACCACACTGGAGCCATTGTCAGCCAGCACTGTTGACCTCTCCATTTTGGGGCGCGCCTAGCAGGTGAGAGGGATGGGGAGAGAGAGAGGGAGGAGAAAGAGAGAGAAAGAGAGGGGAGAGAGAAGGGAGAGCGAGAGGGAAGGAGGAGACGGGGAGAGGAAAGGGATGCGGGAGAAAAGGAGGGGGAGGAGGAGGCTAGGGGGAGAAGGAAAGCGGGAAAGGGGGAGAGAAGGGAGGGAGAAAGAAAATATAGGGAGGAGAGGAAGTTTAAGAAGGGAACTGACCTGGGCAGTTTCCAGAAAAGTTCCGTAGCTGGTGCGAATGGGGTCTATCTCTTCGGTGCCATTGTCTGCCACCACCTCCGAGCGCGTCATGTTGGGCCGCGCCTGGGGTAGAGTTGGGGGGGGGGGGGGGGGGAAGGGAGTGGGGAGAGAAGGGGGGATGGGGGAGTGCGGCAATGGGGCATAGTAGGGGAATGGGGTCTATCTCTTCGGCGCCATTATCTGCCACCACTTCTGAACGCGTCAGGTTGGGCCACGCCTGGGGTAGAGTTGGGGGAAAGCGGGGGTGGGAGGCCCAACACAAGGGAGGGACGGGGAAGTGCAGCGATGGGGCAGCGCAGGGGAACGGTGTCTGTCTTCTCGGTCCCATTCTCCGCCACCACTTCGAGCGAGCCATGTTGGGTCGTGCCGGGGGTAATGTCCTGGGGAAGGAGGGGGTGTGGTGTGGAGGGGGGACGCAGTGGAGGGATGGGGGAGTGCGACAATGGAGCAGTGCAGGGAAGTGGAGTCTATCTCGGGAGTGCCATTGTCCGCCACCACTTCCGACCGACTCATGCTGGGACGCGCCTGGGGTAGAGTTGGGAAGGAGGGACGCAGTGCGGGGATGGGGGAGTGCGGCAATGGGGGCGGGCGGCAATGGGCGTTGCAGGAAAATTGCCATTGCCGCCTGCCCATTGTCGTACTTATCTCAGCGGTCCCATTGTCTGCCACCACTTCAGACCAGGCCATGTTGGGACGCGCCTGGGATTTTTTTTTTTTTGGAAGGGGGAGGGTGGAGAGACGCAGTGGAGGGATGGGGAAGTGCAGCAATGGGGCAGTGCAGGGGAATGGCGTGCATCCCGGAAGTGCCACTGTCTGCAACTACTTCCCACCGAGTCATGTTTGGGCGCACCTGGGGTAATTTGGGGGGGGGGGGGGGAGAGGCGGCAATGCAGAGAGAGAGATGGGGGGGTGTATCAGGGGAATGGTGTGTATCGCTGTGGTACCATTGTCCGCCAGGTTGGGACGCACCTGGGGCGATGTCGGGGAAAGGAGGGGAGAAAGGAGGGCGCTTGTACATATATGCATGTGTGCATGCATGCATACCATCTCAATCAATTAGTCGCACGTCTCATGTGTGCATGCGTGCATACCATCTCAATCATATGGTCGCACGCCTCATGTGTGCATGCATGCGTACCAGTGCAATGATGTGGTCGCACTCCTCGTGGTTCTAGGAGGGGGAGAGAGGGCGGCCTTTGAGTTGACTCAAAGCGTCACACCCCTCAGGTGTGCATGCATCAAGGTGTGAGCGTGCATGCATCAAGGTGTGCGCGTGCATGCGTACCAGTGCAATGATGTGGTCGCACTCCTCATGGGTCAGGAACTGCTTGTAGATCCACGCTCTAAGGGATGGAGAGAGGGGGGACGAGCGAGAAACGGAGAGGGTAAGAGAGGAGGAGAATGGAGGGCGAGGGTTACATGGAGGTGCATTTTCCAGACCAAGGAATTCGGGGATGGAGATGGTGGCGTGGTGTGCCGAGGGAGTGGGTGTGACGAGTGAAGAAAGGGAGACCAGGTGGGGAGGGTTGCATCGGGACATTTAGTATTGGCGGTGCCACGTCATCGTCATCACGTGTCATTGTCCACAGCAGCATATACTCCACCTCACCTTGGTTTCCACGATAGCCGGACGACGCGAGGCTCGCTCAACCCAGGTTCAGGTTCAGCTGCTGCTGGCTTGGGTTCAGGAGTGGAGCGATAGCTGAGGGGAGGGAAGGGGTGAAAGAAACGGAGGAGCAGTGGGGTGGGGAGGAGGAGGAGAAGGAGGGGGGGGGTGATCAACGTAGGAATGACGTTGCAGCACTTCTAGAACACGAAGACGAAACACTAAGGCGGTAACAACAAGAACATGCGGACAAGAAAAAGGCAACATGTTGGCTGCTTACGTGTCACCGAGCCAGCCTGGAAGAGCGTCAGCTTCAAACCCCGAAGCGGGTTCCGCCAGCAGCATCAGAAGCGCGAGCGCGAGCGGCGCTAGCAGGAGCAGAGGCGACCTGGATGGTCCACGGATGGACATTACACTCACTTGACGCCATGAATCCATTTTTTTGTTTTTGAAAAGAGGAAGATGCATAAGGGTGTGAGCCACGAATTGTGGTATTTTTTTATGGCGGTGGTCGACAGCCACCAGAGATGGAGTGAGAGATAGGGCAAGTGAACTGCGCCGGGCACGAGGGATACAAGCCAAGAGAAACGAGGGATTCGGTCCCCGCAAGACTGAAACCCGGCAAAAAAAGGATTATGCTATAGCTGCTCTGGGATGAAGAGCAGGAGAGAGAGCTGTGGGATGTAGGGCGATGTTGCGGAACCTGGTTGTTCTGATGATGACCATAACAAATGAAAATGACTAAATGAGCAGCTTTGGGATTATCATGGAAATCGCAGGGAAGGGCTGAGATGGAATCCCAAGGTGGTTACCTGCCGAAAGCAATTCCAGATTACTAGATTCTCCTCGTAGTCTGCGACGAACCAACACGCTGGCGAAATCAGCTCACAAGACCCATTGGTGGAAAACATTCGCCCAATAATTTCGCGAAATGCGCTGTCCAACCACATTCACCCTCCCAACCAAATGCTTTGTTCGCTACACTTGGGTTTGACCCCCACTCGTCACACCACTCACAGCACACCTCTTCCGAAATTCCTTGGGATTTGCAGGTCCTGTAACAGACTGGTCCTTCAAAGTCTGGTCCTTCCACAATTTTCCCTCTCTTGTGAGCTTAAATTTCTTCCTGTCCTGACCAGAACCTTGTATCATTATGTCAGTCATCAAAACCAGTCTCGCTCTATCGAAACAAGGAAGCGTGTAAAGCACAGCCGGCTGGTAGAAGAGCGGCAAGGCTGCCTGCTCATAGTCTGCACTGACATAGAGAAGAGACTCGTTGGTTCAGGACCAGCGCCGGCGACGGTTTGCCATGGCCTCTGTCGCTCGCTCACGACAAGCCCTTGTGATTATGATGATCGTTCTTCTTGCGAATGCCGTTTCCGGACACTCTATCGAAGCAACTGACGACAATCAATCCGGCATGTCGTACGTTCCAGACCGCAGATTCGCAAGCTTATCACAATTTATTGCAATTTTAGCGCTATCCGACGTATACTCCGTCCTTTCTGACCTTTCCACGTGTCTCAATTCTGCGTTCACTCTGGTCATTCGTGTGTAGCAGCGTTGTTGATGTGGACATTCCGCCGTTAGAAGAACCCCCTGTTCATATTCCTGACGTCAGCAAGGTTCAACGGCTTTCCTGGAAGCCTAGGTAGTGCCTCGCGAAACTCGCAACGCTACTTTCGCTCAGTCTGTAGCGAAATTTGTCATTCGCAATCATTGTGACTACGTGATGTGTACGAGCCTTGGTCAAGATTATGCTGACGTGTCATGCTGAAACGGTGTAACCTCATTCTTATTCTTCCAGGGCGTTCCTGTTCCCCCAGTTCTTATCCGAGGCGGAATGTGACTACATTGTCAACTATGTGAGTATCAGCCAACAATCTCACATTCCCATCATTCCAATCCTAACCAGCTTCCCATCCTTTCTGTTCATCCCCTTCACACGCAAAATTTCTGTCATGATGTCCCCTTCCCCCCTCCTACCCCCTCCCCCCTCCTCGCACCACCCTCCGCATCTCCCCATCATCCATCACCCCCCCATACAGTCACGTCCGCGGATGGAGCGGTCTACAGTGCTAAGCAATAGCGGGAAAAGCGTGCAGGATAGCATTCGCACCAGCGATGGCTCCTTCATTGTTAAGTACGAGGTGCGGAAACAGCAGCGCAACTTGCTCAATAATTGCCCAATATAAGTTCTATATCAGATCGAGTATATCAAATGGAGTACAAGGCTGCAGAAGCATGGTTAGAACATGATAAGGAGCAACAGCAGGCTTCGTTACCTTTGATCCAAGCCTCCATTAAGTTTACTTCATTCCGAGTGGTTTTCTGAAGGAGTAGCTCGTGTGCAGTGCTCGCATTCTGTGCAATGCCAGTGTCCTGCTGCCTCCACGACTCTTGCTTCAATCATTCCTTCACCCGTCTCCAACTTATCTCCTACCCATCTCCAACCTACCTCCACCTCCCTGCCATATCCCCGCTGTGCCAGAATCCAGTCATTCGGCGCATTGAAGAGCGCGTGGCTGCTTGGACCTTCCTCCCCATTGGTAAGCCCTTCCTCCCCATCGGTAACCCCTTCGTCCCATCAATAACCCCTTCCCCCCTGCTCACACATTATTAATTCCTCCCTCCCTCCCGGCCTCCCTCCCTCACTCTTTCCCTACCTCCTTGCCTGTGGATGCACAGAGAACCAGGAGGCGATGCAAGTGCTGAGGTACAGGGACGGGCAGGAGTACGGGGCACACTGGGACTACATCGACCCTGTCAAGGCACCCACCCCAGGGGGCCCTCGCTACGCCACAGTGCTCATGTACCTCTCTAATGTGGAGAAGGGCGGTGAAACCGCCTTCCCTGAGTCCGAGGTAGGCAGACAGGGTAGGGGGTGGAGGAGGGAAGAGAATAGGCATGAGACGAATTACCCACCCAAGGGGGCCTGCAATACGCCACGGTGCTGTGGAGAAAGGTGGAGAGACCGCCTTCCCTGAGTCCGAGGTATGTGGGGTATACAGGCGGGGGCTGGGTGGGTATTATGGGTGGGCAGGCATGAGGGGAAGCACCCATCTCTCTCGAATGGTCCTTGTATCAAATCCGAGCTAGTACAGACTTGCATCTAAGTAACTAGCAAACAAGCAAACACGCCCAATTCTTGGCCCCCCAAGTCCCACTGCTTCTGGGTGCTTGTACATGAGGACAGGGGTTGGTTGTGTTTCCTCTTGAGTCGACTCAAAAGTCACCTTGTACATGAGGAGAGGGGTTGTTCGTGTTTGCTCGCTTCTATTGAGTGACATACGAGTGAAGCTAACAGCTGCTTTTCTCTTTCTCTCTTCCCTTCATGGTGTGTGTTTCCCGCTGCTGCTGGGTGCTTGTACAGGAGGACACTGTAGTGAAGGATGACTCGTGGAGTGACTGTGGGAAGAAGGGCATTGCTGGTATGTACTATGCACCCCTCGACACACCTCTACACACCTCCACACACCGCTACACACCTCGACACACCTCTACACAGCTCCATTGATGCGTGCCTCATCTGTTTCCATTCCCCCCACCCACACCCCCTTTTTCCTCCAACCCCAACTCCCCCAACCCTGCTCAACGTCCCCGCTCCAAACCCCTACTATGCGAGCCAATTCTTCCCCCTCTTCCCTCTCCACCGCTCCCTCTCCCCCCTCCTCCCACTCCCCCCTTCCCACTCCCCCATCCCTGTCCCAGCCAAGCCCAGAAAGGGAGATGCGCTGCTCTTCTTCTCCCTCCACCCAGACACATCCTTTGACCGATCTTCCCTCCACGCGGGCTGCCCCGTGCTGGCCGGGGAGAAGTGGTCCGCCACCAAGTGGATCCACGTGGGGAGCTTCGACCTGCCGCCCCGTGATGCATCTGTGTGTGTGGACGACAACGAGAATTGCGAGCACTGGGCGAGCATTGGGGAGTGCGAGCGCAACAAGGCGTACATGGTGGGAGCCGAGGGAGCAGGGCCGGAAAGTATAGGATTCTGCAGGAAGAGCTGCGGGGTGTGTGTGTAGGGGTGATCATGGATCCTAATGTCCAAGCAGCAGCAGCAGCAGCAGCAGCTGCAGGCAGCACTAGGCGAGCATTGGGGAGTGCGAGCGGAATAGGGCGTACATGGTGGGTGCGGAGGGAGCAGGGCCGTAGAGCCTTGGTCATTGCAGGAAGAGCTGTGGGGTGTGCAAATAGGGGTTGTGTGACCTCCCCTTTGACCTCCTGCCCCTGTCACATCTGTGTGTGCGGATGACAATGAGAATTGCCAGCCACTGGGCGAGCATTGGGGAGTGCGAGCGCAACAAGGCATACATGGTGGGAGCGGAGGGAGCAGGGCCGCAGAGCCTGGGGTACTGCTGGAAGAGCTGCGGAGTGTGTGCGTAGGGAGTGTGTGTGTGTGCGTGTAGTAGCAGCAGCATCAACTACCAGCAATGGGCGAGCGTTGGCGAGTGGGAGCGCAACAAGGCGTACATGGTGGGAGCGGAGGGAGCAGGGCCGGAGAGCTGTGGGGTGTGCATGTAGGGGCTCGATCCCAGTGTGTGTGCAGCAGCAACAGCAGCTCCATGCACTGGGCACGCATGGGGTGTGTGCGTCGTAGCAGCACCGGCAGCAGCAGCGGCAGCTGAAGTTCAGGCAGGGGCAAGAGAGAAGTAGGACGAGCTCAGATCTCAAGGATCCAGCATAGGTAGTACCGAGTTGATTGTATGGGACGGCTTGAGGCCAATCAAGTGGCAAACCGTTTCTTCCTTGTGTTTTTCTCTCTTCGCTGCACACTGTGAAGTGGCCTGCAGTCACATCCACTACTATCACACTGGCATCTGTTTCAACCATCATATCTATTCGCTATAATCAACACAACATAGTACGGTATATATGTGATATCCACATCATCCATTTATAATCACTCATCCTTCTATAGTCACAAGCACATCTGCCTGTTACAAGCACACTGATAATCACGAGGACATGTGTCTAAGTACCCAGTCAGGCCACTGGTCTCTCCCCCCCTCCCTCTCGCCCTCACCCCCTTCCCTTGCTTGCTGCTGCATCATCATTCCATATCCGCCCCCCTCCTGATAAGCCTCATTCACGTGCTGAGCTGGCGCTGTGTCAGCAAGCTGAGCTGGCATCATGTCAGGATGCTGACCTGGCATGGTGTCAGCAAGCTGACCTGCCATCCCCCATAGCATCGATCCCTCTACCAGGTTAGTCATCTGCTCTTCTGTCTCCCCAAGGCCCCCTGCTGCTCCTGCACCTCGGAAGTTTCTAGAATCCCTCCCAAGGTGTGACGTGGCATATTGGTGGTAACCTGTCATCATGCCATGGTGTGATGTGGCAGCATCACAACCTGACGTGGCAGTTTCAGGTCCAGTGGAATGTACACGTGGCAGCCGCACATGCCCCGGAGCAGACAGAGCAGGCCGGATATACGCAGACCACTCATACGGACCATTATGAGCGATGGTGTGCAGTGCAGTGAGGTTCTGCCCGGCTGGGAGAGGAGTCAGGTCAGTAGCAGGTAAGATGCTGAGGGAAGCAGGAGGGGCAGGATCAGTCGAAGTGGTGGCGGTGGCAGGTCTATTACTGTTCAACATACCACTTTGTGCCATCCTGCCACTCTCCTGTGGCTGCATCCCCCTCACTCCACCGTGACTGGCTGGTGGCAGTGGTAATGGTGGTTCCACGTCAGCTGCTGCCAGCTCAGCACGCATTGCCAGGTCAGCGTCTTCCGCCGCCCAGTCAGCAACCAGCAGGCTAATGACGTCATCCTCTGACACACCGAGCAAAGCAGACGGCGGAAGGGGGGACGTGTGATGACCCCCCACCATTCCCCCCACCACTCCCACCATCACCCCTTCGTCTGGGTCCCTGACTTGTCCCCTCCCGCCATCCCTGGCTGGCCCATGCTTCCCCACCTCGAATTCTCCCTGCTCCTGTGGCTGCCCCACACTCACACCCCCATGTGCTGTGCCCTTCTCTCCACCCCCCTTCACCTGCTCTTCCCGTCTCGCACCCCTCTCTCCGCCCTCCTCCTCAATATACAACTCGTCAGCTTCTTGCGTGTCTCTTGCAGCAGCAGCTGTGGATACGGGTGCTGACGTGGCAGCGGCGGATTGAGATGCTGACGTGGTGGCAGCGGATTGAGATGCTGACGTGGCAGCAGCGGCGGAGGGTGAGGAGATGGGAGGGGGCCCGCAGGAGCCGACGGCTGGCGAGCCAATGGCGGGCGAGCTAGGTTTAGGAGAGCCAATAGGAGGAAAGTGACTGAACAAAGCATGACTATACGGAGTGTGATTATGCAGAGTTTGATTCTGCAGAGTGTGATTGGATGAGGGATGAGAGGAGGTGAGGGGGAGGGAGGGGAGGAGAGGAGGTGGGGCGCGGAAGGAGGAGGAGGGGCGGGAGAGAGGGTAGAAAGGGCCGCGGGTCTGCTGCCATTGCTGGGTTGTGAAGGGAGTGAAGGAGGGGATTAGGGAGGCAGTGAGGGGGGGAGTGAGGGAGGGAGTGAGGGAGGGAGTGAGGGAGGGAGTGAGGGAGGGAGTAGTGGTGTGTGTGCCCTGATGGATGGAGTGGCTGTGGGAGAAGCGAGTGTGTGTGGAGGGCGAGGATGTGTGAGAGAGTGAGTGAGAAAAGGACCTCCGTAAAGACGGGAGCTTTTGCTGCTGCTGCTGCTGCTGCTGCTGCTGCTGCCACTGCTGCATAGCCTGTGCGTCAACTGCCGCTGCAGCTGAAGTTGCTGCTGCTGACGCTGTTGCTGTTGCTGCTGCCCCTGCTTTCTCCGCCGCTTCCGGTTGTGCCGCTCCCCCTGCCCGCCCCTGCCCCTGTCGATCCATCTGCATCTGCAAGTGTTGCCGCCACAGCAATTGCTGCATGGGATGATGTGTCTCTATTTTTAAATTATGACTCCCTGCTATGGAATCCCCGGGGTTTGGAGGAGTCATATTTGAGCCTGCATAGCCACACTCCCTCTCACTCCTTACTGCATTCGCCGAACCTGCAACTGCGTGTTCCGAACCTCCTGTATTCCTCAAACCTGCTGCGTTCCCAGAGCCCCCAGCATTCCCAGAGCCCCCAGCATTTCCCGAGCCTCCGGCATTCCCCGAACCTGCTGCATTCACCAGATTAGTTGAGCTATCCAGCTTTCCATGTGTGACTGGTCCACCTGCCATGGCTGCTGGGTCCCACACCGAACTTAACCGAGCGGTTCGGACATCAGGCTCGGCATTACCGAACCTACTCACAGGCCACCTAGCCTCGACCATGCCTGTATAATTGAGTGGGAGCACTTGTTGTAAGAGGTCTGGGGATTGGTTTGCTCCCGTGGTGATATAAGGTGTCAGGATAGTTGGAAAAGTGTGATTATAACGAGGGAAAGCAGGAATGGTGGAGGTGGTAAGGCTGCTCAGTGCAGTGCTGCTTTTGGAAGCAGAGGCAGGAGCTGACGTGGCAGGAGCTGATGTGGCAGGCGATGACATGGCATGCAGTGACAATGCAGGGGCAGGCGTGGCAGGTGCGGACGTGGCATGCGATCGAGAGTGCGAGAGGGCCGAGGGGGAGCGAGGCCCATGGAAGTGGAGAGGAGGGGGGAAGAGTGAGGGAGGTAGGAGTGAGGGAGGGAGGAGGGATGGGGAGGTGGGAGCAAGTGGGGCAGTGACTGCAGTGGCGGCAGGTGTGACAGAGGGTTGAGACAGTAGAGAGGGACACTGCTTCTGTCCCTGCTTGCCTTGCTGCATCCCCTGCTGCTCCTGCCTCCGCTGCTGCCCCTGCTGCCCCTGCTGCTGCCCTTGCTGCTGCTCTTGCTGCGCGTGCTGCTGCGCTGTGACGCTGAGATGGGTGGTTTGAAGGAGACGATGTGCTTCTTCTTGCCTCAGCCACGTTGACTGACCCAACTGCTGCTGCTGCTGCAGCTGTTGTTGCTGTTGCTGTTGCTGCTGTTGTTGTAGCTGCTTGTGCTGCTGCTGCTGTTGCTGTTGATGCTGCTGCAGTTGCTGCTGCTTCTGCTGCTGTTGCTGCAGTTGTTGATGTTCATTCTGCGGACGATCCAACAGTTGCACCGAACTATGTTGCACCGAACCACGCTGCACCGAGCCATGCTGCACCAAACCACGCTGCACCGAACCTACCGGCCCCACATCCCTCAGCTTCACTGCAGCAGCCAGGTTCGGCACATGCCTGTCATCCGAACCACACACCCGATCCTTCCAATCCAGAATGGCAGCAGCCACATGCTGTGCATTCGCATGCAGCAAAGTCTTAAACATATCGCCTATAGTCACACCTCCACCACTACCGCCCTCGCCATTCGTATTAGTCACCCCTCCACTGCCACCATCCTCCTCATTCCGTTCTGTCACTCCACCACCACTTCCCTCTCCATTCGATTTAGTCACACCAGTGACACCACCTCCCGTCCCATCCTCCTTACCCACACTAAACCCCATATTAGCGCACTCGATAGCACTATTACCCTTCCCTTCTCCTCCTCGCCCCTCCTCACATGCTCCAAGCTCGTTCCAGGTACTCAGCAGCGCACCTGTCACCCCGTCCCCACTTCCCCCCACCTCACCTCCCTCACCTCTACCTCCTCCCACTCCTCCTCTCCCATCCCCATCGCGCACGAGTCTCTTGACGACGCTTTCGCCAGGCTGACCCATATCTGTAGGCGCTTCTTTCCTCTTCCTATCCACCACCATCCCCACGCCGCTGCCTTCACACGCACCAGCTGTAGCAGCACCAGCTGTAGCGCCATCCGTAGCAGCAGCAGCAGCAGCTTCTGTAGCATCTGTAGTATTTGTAGCGGTATTATACGCTGTAGCCTCACCGCCTGTAGCAGCTGCTGCTAGATCCAAATGGAATAGCTCCGCCAATTGGACGCTCAAGATCGACTGATTTAGCGGGCTAGTATCGATCAACAGCTCAGGTTGCTGCTCCAGAACCTTCTTCTCAATAAGGGATTTGTCCAGCAATGATTGGCCCGAGACCAAGACTGACGTGGCACCTCCAACAGAATACGCCCGGGGCAGGATTGGAGAAGCAGGCTCGGAAGCAACCGACCTGGGAAGAACTGGCTCGGAAGCAGCAGGTACAACAGGTCCGGCAGCAGGGCTGGGAGGAGCCGAAGCAGAGAGGTGGGAGGAAGGAACCAGGTCCGGTTTCTGATTCGGGGAGGTAGCAGACCAAACCTGCAGGTCCGGTTTCTCCTCCTCCTCTTCCTTCTCCTGTTGCTCCTCTTTCTTCTGTAGACTCTGCACTCTCTCTGAGAGGATAGCTGCGTCAGCAGCCGCAGCAGCAGAAGTAGTAGCAGCAGCAGCAGCAGCAGAGGCGTCAGCAGCAGCAAGGGACGCAGAGGAAGGGCTTCGTTTCGGTGCAGAGGAGGAAGCAGCAGCGTTGGAGACGCGTTTCGACCCTACAGAAGCCCTAGCGTCGTTGCCTGGGGTTGCAGATTCCGTGGCCGGAGCTGCAGCGGTGGAGTTGGTGTTGGCAGCGGTGGTGATGGTGTTGGCAGCGGTGGTGTTGGTGTTGGTGGTAGCGTCGGTGGCAGTCTGCAGGCGTTGCTGCTCCAGGAATCGCCTGCTCAGGTGGAGGAAACAGAGGGCAAGAGCACAAGGAGAAACGGCCAAATGAGGACAACTTTTGAGTCCAGGGTTCAGGGTTATGAAATTGCTTCGGTCTGGCGTTGCTTGATGCTCAAGAGAGGTGGTGAGGGAAACCCTGGACGAGAAACCTCTTGCTCGGTGAGTGATATGGCAGATGGGAGGGATCGGGGAGGGTGAGAGAGTGCAAGGTGATTGAGACGGAACGGGAGATGATATGGAGAGGGAGAGGGGAAGGAGACGGACAGCGAAGGAAAATCGAATCTGATCAGCACCATCAGATCTGATCAGCACCAGTAGATCTGATCTGATTGCATCAGCACCATGAGATCTGATCAGCAGAATGAAATCTGATCTGATCAGAATTCCTGATCAAAGACCGTGCCCAGAAACATGGCTGAAAACTGGCTGTCATTCCCAAACGGCGTATTGTATACTATACACCTCAAAAGGACCTTGAAACGGCATATTGTATACTATACACCTCAAAAGGACCTTGAAACGGCTTGGAAAGCACCGTGCCTATCCAGCTTTTCACAAACAGTAGCGCCTCACTTCTTAAGGAGGATGAAGCGGTTGCAGCAGGCCTTGTTGTCCCGGAGAGGCAGCTCGCGGCTCCGCTGCAGCAGGCCCCAATTGCGCGTGCCGTGGCGCATCACGTGCTGTAGCAGTATGCGGTCCTCCTGAGGGAATGATGATGGGTGAGAATGGGTGACAATGGTTGATGGTGGTAGATTAGTGAGTGATAGGGGGCGCGCAAAAGCAGCAGGCCCCAGTTGCGCGTGCCGTGGCGCATCACGGGCTGTAGCAGTATGCGGTCCTCCTGAGGGAATGATGATGGGTGAGAATGGGTGACAATGGTTGATGGTGGTAGATTAGTGAGTGATAAGGGGCGCGCAAAAGCAGCAGGCCCCAGTTACGCGTGCCGTGGCGCATCACGTGCTGTAGCAGTATGCGGTCCTCCTGAGGGAATGATGATGGGTGAGAATGGGTGACAATGGTTGATGGTGGTAGATTAGTGAGTGATAAGGGGCGCGCAAAAGCAGCAGGCCCCAGTTGCGCGTGCCGTGGCGCATCACGTGCTGTAGCAGTATGCGGTCCTCCTGAGGGAATGATGATGGGTGAGAATGGGTGACAATGGTTGATGGTGGTAGCTTAGTGAGTGATAAGGGGCGCGCAAAAGCAGCAGGCCCCAGTTGCGCATGCCGTGGCGCATCACGTGCTGTAGCAGTATGCGGTCCTCCTGAGGGGATAATGGGTGGAGATGGGGGATGATGGATGGAGATGGGTGATGATGGGTGATAAGCGGTTGGAGTCAAGTGTGAAGTTGCTGCAGCAGCCCCCGGTTGCGCGTGCCGTGGCACATCACGTGCTGAAGCAATATGCGGTCCTCCTGAGGGGATGATGATGGGTGAGAATCGGTGACAATGGTTGATGATGGGTGCACATAGGCAGCAGTTGATTGCTACGAGTCAAGCTAGCAGAACCCAGCTGTGGATTCAGCAGCGTGTGCCATGGCGCATCACGTGCGGGAGGAATATCAGGTCCTCATGCTGGGATGATGGTTGATGGATGATGCATGGATGGTGCATGGATGGCGCATGGATGGCGCATGGATGGTGCATGGATGGTGCATGGATGGTGCATGGATGGTGCATGGATGGCGCGTGGATGGTGCATGGATGGCGCATGGATGGTGCATGGATGGTGCATGGATGGTGCATGGATGGTGCATGGATGGCGCATGGATGGTGCATGGATGGCGCATGGATAGTGTATGGATGGTGCATGGATGGTGCATGGATGGCGCATGGATGGTGCATGGATGGCGCATGGATGGTGCATGGATGGTGCATGGATGGTGCATGGATGGTGCATGGATGGTGCATGGATGGCCTATGGATGGTGCATGGGTAAGAGTTGGAGGATAGATGCAGCTGGGAATTCTGGAGTGTCAGACGGAGAGTGTGCGTGCGTGGTTAACCCACATACACTTGGGGTTAATCATACACAAGGGGCGATCACGTGATAATATCAGACCAATCAGGGATCATTACGATGCACATATTAGCGCCTAGAGCCGTCTCAAAGCTCAATAAAATCGATTCTGTGACAGGATTGGATGGGCGGCGCAGGAAGTAACGCACCTGATTGCTCCAGCGAATGAACTGCTCTGGTGGGATCGAGGAGCTGTTCCACGCACTGCCACGTGGCGACACCGCCGCCATTGACGGGCGGAAGCTTGAGGAAGCCACTGCTAGGGGAGGCGCTGCTCGGAGAGGGGCTGCTTGGGTAGGCGCTGCTAGGGGCGGCACTGCTTGGGGCGGCACTGCTTGGGCCGGAATTACTCGGGGCGGCACTACCGGGGGAGGCGCTGCTTGGAAAGCAGCTCCTTGGAACGCAGCTGCCCGGAAAGCTGCTGCACGGAAGGCGGCAGCTTCCTGGAAAGCAGCTGCCTGGAAAGCGGCAGCTTCGTGAAAAGAAGCTTCTTGGAAAGACGCGCTGCCTGTCAGGGTGTTGTGAGACGGCGGTGGTGGCCTGGCGCCGTTGCTGCCGCTGCCTCCATGGTACGGCGATCGGATTGGCTGATTCGGATCGGTGGCTTTCTGCCTCATCTTCGGGCTTCAAGAAATCTGTATGTTATCCACTCTCAATGGTACTTAGAGCTCTGGTACTTGGTGCTCCCACTGGCACTTAGAGCTGATCCACCCTCACTGCTACTTGGAGCTGTATGGGATCCACTCACAGTGATGCTTAAAGCTGTATGGGATCCACTCACAGTGATACTTAAAGCTGTATGGGATCCACTCACACTGATACTTAAAGCTGTATGTTATCCACTCTGTCACTTATAGCTGTATGTTATTCACTCCAAATCTCCTCATCAGGTCTTCTCCTCACCAGGTTTCATCCCCACCAGGCCTTTTCTCCAAATCTCCTCTAACCAGCTTCTCTCAGCAGGCCTCCTCACAAGGTCTCCTCACCAGGTCTCCTCACAAGGACTCCTCACCAGGTCTCCTCACAAGGACTCCTCACCAGGTCTCCTCACAAGAACTCCTCACCAGGTCTCCTCACAAGGACTCCTCACCAGGTCTCCTCACAAGAACTCCTCGCCAGGTCTCTCTTACCGCTTCACCTTACCCGGGTCACCTATGGGGCTTCTGTAACTACAACTAGTAGGTGCTGAGGTTACGTGCCTGCCGCTGCCTAGGGGATGAGTTCGTAGCCGTCGATATAAGGAAGGCTTCGGACGCATTGTCTGGTGTGTGAGAGAGAGAGAGGAGGAATCCAACGTTTTTTTTCTATTTTCGAAGAGGAGTTCAGTAAAATAATCGACAGGTATAAGTACTATTAGCGAGGAAGCCTCCTCCTGAATCAACTTGAATCAGTGCCAAGTTGTTCCAATGTCAGAAGGTTGGGTTGTTGAACGCGCTTGGACTACACAGCTTCTGATCAAACTCTGGCTTACAAACGCGTAGTTTGGACTAACACCTCGTCAGTCGTCTCGCGCTGATTTGAAAACACCTAGCGTGGACGAGTAATAGAGAATAATGGGAACTTGAGAGTGGCACCATATACATGAATACGACATCGCGGGACTACGGCCTCGAAACTGGACGGCTCGATGCATTCAGGTCCCGTGCTGACATGATTAACTTTCAGGGGTTCGACGAATCGTTCGGTGCGTTCGGTTAGGTAGGAGAAGGCTATTTCGTGCCACGCGCCGCAAAAAAGGAGGAACAGGGACGAATCTGCTGCTAGTGCGGCTGGTTCTGCCAATAGTAGGTAGTAAGGCTGACAGTTGTGAGCGCATGAGAAAGAAATTTCGAGCGAAGTCCATCTAAAAAGCTCGAGTGGATGTGGCGAGTTGAGCCAACTACTAAGTGTTTCCGGCAGCACTTTGCTGATAGAATGCACATTGCAGACTTGCAAGTGCTAGCGTAGGAGTCTATGTGTCAACAGAAAGTCTCAGAAGTGAAAAATTACGAATCTCTGTGGATCGAGTGTCAAGCGCCATTTGCACAACTGCTCCAAAAGCTGCAGCCAGTTTTGGATCAGATGAGTCAGGGGGAACGACCTTTTTCCTAAATGTGAACGAGGTGAACGCGAGCGTAAATGGTGACACCACCGTAGCGTCGACGCCATGGCTGGTTTCTTTCTGCCGGAATGTGATTGCACTGTGTACAGCAGAGAACATCGCAGTGCGGAGCTGAAGACGGAAATGGGGGTTCGCTTCACAGTCTCTCGCACGCCCCTTCCCGTCACAAAGAGCTTTCGTTCAAGCTGTACAGTACGCTCGGAATCGATTCATTCTTCCTGCCTTCCCTTCCATCCCCCCTTTCCGATAAAACCAAGCAAGGTCACCCAAACCGAGACAGATCGCATGCCCGTGCCCGACAATCGCGTGACCGATAGCGCAAAATGGCCGATTCGGGACCCCTATCGTGTACAGAGTTTATTTCAGAGTGTATTTCTTTCTTGAAAAAATAAATAAATTACAGGGGTATTTATTAAATGCTTCACGTTTTAGACTTTGACATCACATCACACACGTTGTTGTCAGAACCCTCTCCCTCTTGCAAATTTGCATAACCATTTGTTTAAGTGCCGCCGCACTCTCACGGAACCACCCTCAACTCTCGAAGCTTAGATTCAAGCTATCTCGTTGCTCCGCGTGCGAAGCAGAGGGACAAAATACCTGACGTAGCAGGAGCACGCCATTCTCAGGCGGTCATATGAGAGGCTGGCGCGTGCCCCCTGCAATGATGAAATATTTTTCGTAACCCTCCATAGGCCCGCTGAAGATGGGCCGTGGAAAAGCGTCAGCAAGCTGATTCGGCATAAAATATCACCCGCCAAGGCCTCAAAAATCAGGGAGGATACATCGGGGGAGCTGCACACGGCATCGGCAACAGAAAGCAACAAGTCCAGTTCCCAGACAGAACGTTTTTATCGGGTATGTGTCCCAAAACAGTTCAAGCCATCCCGTACAATCAACTATGATACCCAATCACCGAGAGATGGAGGGGTGGCAATCCTACTTCCCCACAGTTTCTTGAGGGTGTGGAATATGCCGGCCACGCTCCCATCATTCCACATTCTTAGTCGTACTGTATACACTTAGCTGATGGAAAGCTTCACATAATCAACCCTCTAAGGAACAGTCAAGGTTTACCCCCTCAGGACCTGCACTGACGTCCTTTCCATTGTAGGAGGGCCAATCACAGTCAGCACTTGAGTCATCGCAGCTGTAACACAGTTCCTTTAGCTGGCATTCAGCAGGTGCGATCAGCTACACTCTCCGAAACGACACTATCGCTGAACGTGGTCCGCATTGTTTTACCAGGTTCATCCATGTCCACGCGCATGAACCTTGGCACCGCAATTTCCATAGCAGTTGCGAGAACGGACGATTGTGTACGTGTACAGTTCAATATCCGTCAAAGATGGATCGGGGCCTAGAATTGAGGCTGTTTTTGTGAGCAGCTACATGTGTGAACATTTCACGTGTGAAAATGATGCTCTAGTCATTCTATTTCGCTATTTCGCTAGGCAGCAACCCCCTCGGCAAATGCGGAGGCACATGCCCCCCCGGCCCCATGCCTCATCAACTATTTCGCTACGATAAAGAGTTGCTCCATAAAAGTCCACAAAGAACTGCAGAGGCAGGAAAGGCTTAGTGAAAGGAAACTGCCAGCGTTTATGCTAGCCTCTCAGAACAGAACTCCCTCTAAACCTCACAATTGCTTTGTTTTCATGCATTCATCGCCATCACATGAGCTTAACTAGAGTTATCTCACACTACAAAACGTTAACGAGGGCCATTTTGTAAAACAACCACGAGATGTGGAACAAACAAACAATTGGCATGAGCTGCTGTTACAAGATCGGCCCTTCGCATGTAACGACAAACCAGAGCCACCCACATCGCTACATACCATTGGTGCCATGGCGTTTAGTGCCACATTCAGAGCAGAACTTAGAGGAATCCCTAACATATGTGGCCCCACACTCGTCACAATACTTCGCAAGAGCGGCTGCTGCAGCAGCTGCTGCTGCCGCTGCTGCAGCTGAAGACTGCTGCACACAGCCATAGGGTGTCTCCCCACACTCCGCCTGAGGGGGGACAAAAGTGGGTGAAAGAGGAGCACACAGCTTATCTGCATAGAAAGCATAGCTGTTAAGCTGCTGCAGCTGAAACAGCAGCATGGATATTCAGCCATAGGTTGAATCTCCACAACCATTCACGAATCCTTTACCATTTGGAGACATACTCCATACAGACACAACCATTAGTGGTCAGAATCCCAACCTCAATGCACTTACCGGGGTGAGAACCATGGCCAGGTGATGCGACCCAGAAGGCAACAACCCCCTCGGCAAATGCAGAGGCACATGCCCCCCCCGGCCCCGTGCCCTGCTGCCCCTCCCCCTCCTGTAGATGCCCCAACGGACCACCAGACCCATGGGGGGAGATGCCCCAGAGGCATTCCCCACCTCCAGATCCCATCTAAGTTGACTAAAAAAAACTCCATTCACTTACCGGGGTGAGAACCATGGCCAGGTGGTGCGACCCAGAAGGCAGCAACCCCCTCGGCAAATGCGGAGGCACATGCCCCCCCGGCCCCATGCCTTGCTGCCCCTCCCCCCCCTGCAGGTGCCCCAATGGACCCCCAGGCCCCTGGGGGAGATGGCCCAGAGGCATTCCCCCTCCCGGCCCCATCTGCTGGTGCCCAGGCATCCCCCCCTGCTGGGGGTGCCCGTGGGGAGGGCCTGGGGGGAGAGGGATGGGCGCTCCGGTTGGATGGTGGATTTGGAGGTGGATTCCTGCTGCTCCGGCTTGGTGGTGCGGTGGGACGGATTGGAGTGCAGGGTTGCCGGTTAGGTGTGGGGAGGGCTGCTGCTGGTTGGGCGGCCGTTGCTGCTGTTGTTGCTGCTGCTGCTGTTGTTGCTGTTGCTGTTGTTGTTGCTGGTGGTGTTGGTGCTGTTGGTGGTGCTGGTGCTGGTGTTGCTGCTGGTGCTGCTGCTGCATCTGTTGCTGCATTGACGGGTCCGATGGATGGTGCTGGGACGAATCCGCCATGACCATAGCCTGCACCATGGGAGGGGGAGTGGGGGGGGGGAGGAGGGGGAAGGAGGATTGGAATAATCTATCACGGTTGACTCCCATCCCAAGGAGTCCGCCATCCCCATCCCAGGAGATGCATGCATTTGCATGGCGTGGCATGGCGTGGCGTGGCCTGGCGTGGCATGGCGTGGCATGGCGTGGCGTGATGTGGCATGGCACAATGCCACCCACAGCAGCAGTGAGCTCAGAGGCACGTCAAAATCACCTCGCCCCTCTACCCTCCTCGCCCAATTCCATCTAAACCCCTCTGAATCATCTCCTCCCTTTCCCCCCATGCTCCCACCATCCTTACTTACCATATGGTGCATGGGAGCAGCGAGTTCAGCTGGGTTCGCCACAGAAACAGCAGACACGGACGCCTGAGGCACCCTCTCGGTCCCTTCCCCCACCGCTCCGCCCCCCTTCCCCTCTTTAGTTCCCGCCCTTACCATGTGGTGCATGGGAGCAGCGAGTTCAGCCGGGTTCGCCACAGAAACAGCAGACACGGACGGCTGAGGCACCCTCCGGGGTTTGGGCCGCGGCGTGAAGTACTTGAAGTCCCGCGGGTATATTGCCACCTCATGCCGCCCGGTTATCCTCTTGAACCTGCGAGAGGGGAGAGGGGACGTGAAAGGTTCTTTTATGTGCGTCAAAAACACTCCGGGGTTTGGGTCGTGTCGTAAAGTACTTCCAAGACCCGCGGGTATATCGCCACCTCATGGCACCTGGTTATCCACTAGAACCTGGGAGAGGTGAGGCGGAGAGGAAAGGGACGGTTCTTTGAGTGCTTTGAATAAACCCGTTACCCGCTGAAGTTTCAGCTGTGGCGTGGCGTATTTGCAGTCCGATGGGTATATTGATACCTCGTGCCGCCACCTAATGATCTTGAACATGGAAGAGGAGAGGTGAATAAAATGGATTTCTTGAGCATTCCACTCAGCAACATGAGCAATAGAAACGAGCAACTATGGGTAGTGAAGTGAGACAATGTACAGGTGTATGGTGACAAGCCTACCACTCAGCGCATCTCACCAGCTCCAGCCCATGCACCACTAATGTGGCCCAGTGGAAGAAAGAGAGCGGTACGATCAGCTACGATCAACATACCACTCAGCATCGTCAGGGGACATGGTGGAGGGTCGTTCCACGAGCTCCAGCCCATGCACCACAATGAACCGCACACGCTTGTGGGCCCTTGGAACATATAGTGAAGCCAGCTCTCTTTGTAAGAGTGACGAGCTTACCACTCAGCGTCGTCAGGTGACATGGTGGAGGGTCGTTCCACGAGCTCCAGCCCATGTACCACACGATGAGCCCTATTTTGTAGCCCGTAACAAGCTCAAAAGATAAAAACTGCAAGCTCTTCGCAGTTGGGGAACATAACGAGGGCATACCACTCAGCATCGTCAGGTGACATGGTGGAGGGTCGTTCCACGAGCTCCAGCCCGTGCACCACAATGAACCGCACGCGCTTGTCGTCCCGCCCCAGCACCAGCTGGGGGAAGCGCGCCCTAGCCTCCAGTGCAGACGCCATCTCCCTTCGCCTGAATATGGTCACGGCTCCTGGAAGAAGGAGAAACCAGAGGAGCAGAAAGCAGGGGGGCGCTGGAAGAATGAGTAGCTGTAGCACTCGCTTGTCACCCCCCTCCACCAGGTTGACTTTTGAGTCGACTCAAAAGTCAGCAGGGGGGCGCTGGAAGAAAGAGTAGCTGTAGCACGCGCTTGTCACCCCCCTCCACCAGCTCCAGCCCATGCACACCATGACATGGAAATTGTACGATAAACCGCGTCGTTCCACCCCAGCACCAGCTGGGGGAAGCGCCCACTGGCTTCTAGTGCTGATGTCATCTCCCTGACTCCTGTGAGAGCGGAGCGGGAAGCAGGGGGGAGTGGGGTGGGCAGGGAAGGGGGGGAAGCATTGAATCATCCGAGTGAGCGGCATTGAATCTATTGAGAATGTCATCTCCAGTACCAAGGGAGAGGTGGACGGGAGGAGGGACGCAGACAGGCAGGCGGGCAGGCAGGCAGGCGGGCAGGCAGACAGGCAGGGTGGGCGACAGGGAGGGAGCACCCCTGGTACCCACCGGACTTGGGGAATTTCTCGACCATGCGGCGATACAATCCTCCAGCAGCCTCAAGCGCGAGCCCCATGGTCTTGCCGCGCAGCACGTCCATCTCCGCCATGCGCCCGTTCACCTCGCCCACCAGCGTCTCATACGCGTTCGCCAGGAAGATGAGCGGCAGCAGATGCCGCGGGTCCCCCTCGTATGACGGCCGGATCACCTGCTGCTCCACTGGCGGCTGCCCGTCCTCCATCTGCACAACATAGCAAGAACCCAAAAAAGAAAAGGAAATTAAAAAAAGAGACACACACACACACAGAGGGGAGGGAGGGAGGGGGAGAAGGGTGGGGGGGGGAGGGGGGTGGGTAGGGGCATGAGAAAAGGGTGTGCTTGGGATGGATAGAAACCAAATGAGAAGCAGAGGAAGAAAAAAAAACCAAAACCAAAACTAAAACTACTGCTACTACTACTACTTCTAGCAGAAGCATCTCACGCCCTCTGCTCACCTCTCTCGCTCTGCGCTTCCTCCTCTCCCCTGGGGAGTGCGATGCTGCGAGCTGTGATTCCTCAGAGATGGGGACGATGTGGTACGTCACAAAGTGGTCGATGATCAGGTGCAGGAAGCGCACGCGCGCAGCCTCGATCGGCAGCAGATCTGACACACAAAGGCATGGACGCACGGGCGAAACACGGGCAGGCGAATTGAGGGTAACATCAAGAACTGAAACCAAGACCTGAAGCGCTTCTGAATTGCTTCTGAATTGGAAAAAAACTGGCAAAAACTGAGGTGCCATAAAAGGTATTTCGGGGTGTACCGTGGATGTTGAGGGGGCTGTAGGGCTGTTGGGATTCAGGAGGTTCCGATTCCTCTGAGACGACTTGCATTGCGAGGCCCCCGTCGTAGGCTTGATGATGGACGCCGTCTGCCATGGCTTGAGGATCCATTGCCTGCATGGCCAGACACACAGCCACGAGCAGATATAAAACAACAAAAAGTACGGAAAATGAGGTAAAATGTTAGAGAGTAGCAACTTTCAAATAGGGGGTAATTTTTGGAAAATGACAATCTGCTTGCCTGTGTGAGTTCGGAAGCAGGGCCCGGCTGCATGGTGCTCCCGCTCTGCACGCTCGCTTGCATGGCGCTCTGAAGGCCAGACTGCATGCTGTTCGGAACAGACGACTGGGAATGGAGCGGACCCTGATGCTCCTCCTGACCCGGCTGCTGCTGCTGTTGCTGTTGTTGCTGCTGCTGCTGCTGCTGGAGGAGGTGATGTTGTTGTTGTGACTGCTGCTGTTGTTGCTGCTGCTGTTCTCTTGTGTGGTGATGCTGTTCCATTTGGTCATCCTGCGGACCTTGATGGTGCTGATGTTCTTGTTGCTGCTGTTGCTGATGCTGCTCTTGCTTAATTTGCTCGGAAGGAAGCGGAGGAGGAACGGAATATTGATCGGGATGCTGGGAATCTTGAAGCGAAGCTTTCAGTTCTTCCGGCTGTCCGTCCAGGACAACTTGAGACTGCTGTTGCTGCTGTTGCTGTTGGTCGAGAATGCTTCCATGAACAGGTTGTTGCATGCTTCCGTCATTCACACACGAGAGGTCGTGAGGAGACATTCCGTTACCGTTAACAATGTTCCTAGGCTCGCCTTGCGTGCCGTACGCGACGGAAGTCATTCTTCAGGTGAATTTAGTAACTCGATTGGATATCTTGCAACTACGTGGAAACCAGTCGTCAACGCGGTTCCAGAATTAGCTCCTATTCGAATGTGAGGAAATCGAATTATCTAAATCCGCGATTCGAGATGTATGTATTGGCTGGGGAGGTTAGCTCGTGCCAGCCATTGCTCGGGATGAAGCCAGACCAACACAGGAGCGGCGGTAAAAACAAACGAGCCAAGAAACAGGAGAGGAAGGGAGCAGTAACAAGAATGGAGAACGAGGGTCGCGGCAAACCGGAGGCAAGGGAAGAAAGGAAGGCAAGCTTGGAGAAAGCAACGCGAGTTTGGAAACAGATCTATGGCTGCCGGTGCTGCAGACGCATGGTTTGGGTCTGGTGAAGAAGCAAGAGAGGCAGGCCTGGGGGGAGACGGAAGAGGCCTGGGGGGGAAACAGAGAGGCCTGGGGGAAAGTGCCGGGGAGGTATGGGGGGAATGAAGCAGGTATGGGGAAGGTATGGGGGAAAAACCTGGGCGGTTTTGGGAAGCTGGCGGATATTGGCGCTCGATCGCTGTTGCGGCCTGGGGGAAGCGGAGACGAAGCCTGAGGGAGAGGCGGAATTATTGATGGGCCTTGCGCGCAGCATTGAGGTGGCGAGCGCGATAAAAAAATTGGTGGGGTGGTGGAGGGACGCGGAAACTCGCTTCTGGACAAGGCTAGGGTATGGTGTGGGCTCGGCCAGAGCGAGGGTTTCGATACCTTGCTGCGAGGGTTTGGTGTGGCCAAGGCGAGATGTTGGTGTGGCGCGGGCCTTTCCGGAGCTGACACGTCGGACCATGCGACTGGCTGGGAACCTCGATTAGGGCGCCGGCACTCATGCTCTGGGCTAGACGCAAGGGTTTGTTTTGTGATCTGACGAAGGTCATTGTTCGTTCGATGAACGCAGCATGCGGTACACCGTCAGATATAACATCCAGCATCTTCACAACAACATTTCTGGTGATACCGTTATCGCTAAAAAAACAGCCAACTTCTAACGATATTTCAACATGAAGCTAGAAATCTAAAATATGTACATCAGAACCAAGCCACTGTGATATAACAAAAACATATGATCTAAAAATGTTGAAGCTTGAGTGTTACCAGGGGATTTCGCTTAATAGATACTTGTCGTTCACTCCCAGATGAACTAATTTCACCGTCTAGTGTGGACGATGACGAGGACGAAGACGAAAATGGCGATCCCACAGTTGTTGAAGCGCTCATGGGACTAAAAGACACTGAAGGGGAGTGGAAAGACATGGCTTGAATGCCGACCTCATCGTGCAAACCCGGTTCTGTGGCAGATCTCGGCATGAGAGAAAGCATTTGCTGAGCAACGGTGGGTTGAGCCATGGCAGCAGCGCTCACATTGTCCGATCTGGCACGCGGATATGCTTCCATGCCACCAGCCACATGGTTAGACCTTGAGTGCTGCTCATGCTGGATCTGGTGGGATGATTTCAACCTTGACACTGGCTCACTCCTCAAGTTTGACGCATCACGAGAAGTGGAGCCATGGGAAAGAGGCGATGGGCACCCTACAGCTCGCCCTAGCAGCCTCGGAGATGAATAGCCTGGAGAACCGGTACTGCTGCCACCGCCCCTGCCACTCCCACTGCCGCAGCCACTGCCACTGCCACTCCCACTGCCAGTACCTCTGCCACTTCCACTTCCACTGCCGCTGCGAGTGCCAGTGCCACTGATATTACCGCCATCTACTGCATCAGCTGGTGCACCCAGCCTTGTTCCTTGGGCGACATCCACTGCTGCTGCACCTCCTGCTACAGCCGACGTTCCTGCTACAGCTGACGTTCCTACTACAGCCGACGTTCCTGCTACAGCCGACGTTCCTGCTACAGCCGACGTTCCTGCTACAGCCGACATTCCTGCTACAGCCGCTGCGCCAGCGCGCAATGCTGGCGCCAACCCTGACTTGGTACTCCTCCGTTGGGAAACTGCTCTGGTCTGAGCTCTCGTTGCACCCACCAGGACCGGCCCTGATGCTGTTCTTGGCCCCAGTGTGACCGTAACGGGGGGAGTAGCCGAGCTGGGCGGCAGAGAGGAGCACGAGCGGAGGGGGGAGTATGGGCGCCTCCCAGAGGGAGGACGGCGGGGGGAGGAGGATGCGGGGGAAATGGGAGAAGGGCGGGGGGAGGAGGTTGTAGAGAAGAGGGGGGAAGGGGAGTGGCGCGCAGAAGCAGGAGTTGGGGAGGAGGGGGCGGAGGAGGAAAGGCTACTAGGGCCGTTGGATCGCATCCTGCTCCCCTGATTCGACGGTTCGGATTGGAGAGGGGAGGGGGACAGGGGGAAGGAGCGGTGGAGAAGCAGGCGGTGCTGTCGGTGCGCGCTGAGGGGGACGGTGAAGGGCGGAGACGGCGCGGGGGACGTATCGGGGGAAAAGATAGAGTGTGACTGTGTGGAGAGGGCGTCGGGATGTGACTGTGACGAAGGGAGGTCGACTCGAAGGTTGGGGCGCGGACGAGTATGGGCGAGCCTGCTGCTCATGTCGACGTGGCTCGCTGGCTGGAATGTAGCGGCTGACGTGGCAGCGGGAGGAGCGGCAGCGTGCGCAGCAGTAGGAGCGGCAGCAGCGGCGGGAGCAGCGGCGGAAGGCGCGACGCTTCGGAAGCGGGAGAGTCGGAGGCGGGACGTCGAAGCAGTCGGCGACGGCGGAAAGGACGGCGGGTGGGGAGTCAACGAATAGCTAGGCTCAACGTGCGACTCAACTTGAGCGACGACTAGCTCCGTACGCGAAACGGCGAGCAATGGTGAAGCGGTAATCACGCCAGCATCGTTGCTACCATGATTAGCGGAAGCCCGCGTAGCAGTGGAGAAACGAACAGCCGGAGCAGTCGCGGAGGATTCGTCAGAAGGAACAACTGGGTGGTCGTGGGGCGTCGGGAGCGACTTGGAAGACGGAAACTGCTGTCGGGCCAGGAGGGCAGCCGGCGGCGGCGCGGCGGAGAGGCTGGTCGCCCCGGGGCTCGAAACGGAGCGCGGAAACGCCAGTTGCGGTTGCGGCTTCCGCGGAGACGCGGCGGTCTCCACGACGAGGCTCCCCATGTGCGCGTGGGGCTCCGGCGGTGCTGCGTCCGACCTGGGTCCCTCCCCTGAGATGACCGCAGGGTCCGGCGTGGAATGCGCCGGAGGAGGCGCCGGCGCCGGTGCAGCGCTTCCAGTCTCACCATCCCGAATTTCACGAATCTTAGAGCTGGTCGCGCCGTGCAGACTTGAATTCTGTAACCTCGACGCTTTATCACCAACCGGCGATTTCCCGCAAACCGCCACGACTGAGGGAGCCTTCCCGGGAGTCTCGGCCCTGGTCCGAGCTTCTCCCGCCGCCGCGGAACATCTGCCTCGCGGTACATCAGCCCCTGCGGTTGCGGAACGGGATGTCCCTGCACCTGCGCCGGTTGCGGATCGGGATGTCCCTGCCGCTGCGGAACGGGATTCCCCGGCCGCTGTGCGAACTTTCCTTCCTGCGAGCTTCTCGCCGCGGCCTGCGCTCCGTGCGTTAGTTCCGCAATCTCCCCGCGCCTCCCCGACGAGCCGCGTCTCCCGCATCTCCCGCACTTCCCCGCACGTCCCCTGCGACTCCCGCGTATCGATGGAAGCCTCCCGCGCACCTCGCGTCTCACGCGTATCTCCTGCCGTCACCCGCTTTTCCCCTGCTCCCCGCGCTGCCCGCTCCGCCGTCCGCCTATCGCAGCAGTCACGCTGCGCGCGTCCTTCAGTGAGAAAACTTTCCCTGACGACGAGATGTTCCGCCAATTCCGCCTTTCCTGCCGATTCCAGCAATTCCGCTAATTCCCTCGGTCCCGATGTCTCCCGTGCCGATTCAGAGCTGCGCGCTGCGCGGCCCGCAGCTCGCTTCCGCGCAGCACGCGGAATCTCCGCGCGTTCCTCCTGCAGACCCGTATCGACGCTCGACGATTCGACTACCACGTGGCGGCGCTCCATCGCCGCTCTCGTGGCCCTATTAGTACTACCGCTACTACTGCCACTATTATAGAGTCTGCGCGCTTTTCTATGATCGTCCTGGCGAAGTGGGACCGCCGCCGCTATCATCTGTCCCAACGATGTGAAATGAGAGTGTTTTTGAGACGTCTACAAAACGCCGCCGCTATCACCTGTCTGTCCAAACGAGTTGCAAGATATCGGAAAGCATGCAGTCTGTGCTACGCGTTCTTGCTCTACCAGATCTGTCGTAGCTGTGTGCTCTCTCGGGGTGAAGCAGAACTGTCAATCGAAGGATCTTCTT